ATCTTAACGAATGCTTACAACGAAGTAAAGAAATTTTGGTACTACAAATACATGCTAACCCCATCAAGGTAAGTTCTTTCAAAATTGATGAAGTATTACACCATGCAACTTTTTTGAACTCTGGGTTCAAGTATACATTTGCTCCCCGCCTTCCACTCTCATGAAATCAAGGTAAGACTTGCCATTTAGTTTCCTAGCAAAAAATTCCTTAAAGTACTTCTCCATAGGAACTCGCCGGAATATTGCTGGGTTATTAGGGCCAATAATGCTTGGTGCAGGACCTAATTCCGAGTCTAGCATGGAGCTATAGAATGTTGCAACAGATAGCCTATCCCTGGCTGAGTTTACCATTGCTCGATGCTCGATGCTACGATATAATCCATTGCTCACAATCTACAGAGTAAACAAAATACATTGAGTACCAATCTTTAACTTCCTTCGGAACAGACTAAGGCAAGTAAAATAGTACTACCTCCATTAAGTCTCCAATGTTGACTACAAAAGCATTTGGTAGCGGCTTAATTGGAATCCATCTTCCATCCTTTCGGATTAGCAGGCCTTCTATTTGGTTAAGCAGGAAGAGAATCGTCAAGGCATCTGCATCTGAATGAGATGTGAAACCGATGGCCATTTCAGGTTCAGGGCATGGAGGATAGTAGTTCATTCTCATTGACTAAACCCCATCAGTGAACAACACTCTTATTTCCTCAGCATCCATCTTTAAAGCTCTTCCCATCTGATCTAGTATCAAAAGAGCAAGATTTTTCATTTCCATGGAGTATGCTTCCAGTGTTTCTCTGTAACAAAATTAAAATGTTGAAATGCAAAATCAAGTGATTCTGTTAGAAAATCAATGAATACTTGTTCGACATATTCACTAAAACAAATTATTTATCTAAAAACTGAAGTTGGGTCAAATACATTTTTTCCTAGAAGAGGATTTAACTTTCTACCAAAAATGATTAAAAGTTGAAGCTCTAGTCTTAAAACTTTTGGTAAAGATCTTATACCATAGAGTCCTTCAAAGTAACAAAAATTTATTGAATTCTCAATTTATCCATTACATATAAATCTTATGAGTTTCATACAAAATGTCTATTTGATTGAACTTTTGAAAAGATTCTTTGCTGCAAAAACGAAAGTTGAATCTCCGAAATGATTCTTTTTTGTAATTTTGTTAGCAAATATATTATGCTCTTGTTATCTGTTACGGATGGGGAAAATTGATGAATCTCTTCCTATATTGTGGATTAGTAATCCCATGTTCCCATGGATGGCGGATCACATTCTTCTTTGAATTCGCTGTCTTAAGCTACTCTGTCTTGTGCATATTTAATTTGTTTAGGATATTTATCCCTTATCTTCTAAATAACATGGTGATGTTAATTGGTTGTTCTTTCTTCCAATGTACGTATCTGCCCGAATTAGATGTCTTCTCCCTTTTCCAGCCCATCTGTTTGCTGTTAAGCACGAGAATCTTCTATTGTATTGCTCAAGTATTTTGCTTATATGTTAATTTGTTCTTATCAATTTAGGTCCAGAGACAATAGTCCCGCAGCTGCTGCCTGCTGTAAGGATTTTACTCTATTCTGTCATTAGACATGAAATGAAAAGCCTGCCTCTTTAAGGTATTGTTGGAATTTATGGATTGATATACGCCAAGTTTGGAGTAGGGAATAAAGCCATTGATCAGTGTAGCATAGGATAAATATATTTATATGAATATTTACTGTAAATTGTCAGTCTGATGAAATTATTTAGATTGTTAGAACTGTGTTTGAACTTCAAATTTTTCTCTTCCAATTTTAATGCCATTCAATATTAAAATGTGATCTCTTTGCGTGCCTCCTTTGAAGCGGATGCGGTGATTTTTAAGTGCTTGAGGAATTAATCAGGTCAAAAATTTTAGATAACATGTTATATATATAAAGAGGAGTGCTCAATGAGCACTAAACCCGAACGCACATGCGCTCACTTTTTGATTTTTTGATGTTTTAAAAATAAAATATTGCACTTGGGGCAATAACAACCGAGTGTAAGCTGAAGCATGTATACATATAAAGTCTAGCCGTGTAGATGGAAATATGCAGATTATTCTTTCCTTGCCGCCTTTGGTGACTCCTTGACCTTGAGTGACAGGATTTTACAAGCCGCATTTATTGACTGGTATTGATGGTGTTGCCCAAGTTCTTCCTCTTAGATCTGGAGTGTCCCAGAGCATACAGTCGGCTGATTTTGAACCCTTAAGACATCCACATAAGATTTTCCTCTCAGCTCCCGAGAAAAATACCCCTTGAAGTAGTCTGCAACACCCATTCTTCTAAACAGTGCTGGAGTTTCTGGTGTGACAAGGCTTGGTGCCGGACCCAAATCTCCATCAAGTTTAGGGGCGTAGAATGTGGCGATGGAAAGCCTTTCCTTTTCTGAGTTAGCAGTAGCTCGGTGCTCGATGCTACGGTATATTCCATTGGAAACAATCTGCAAAGCCATATATGGTCGCTAATGATGGTCCGTCAATCAGAAATAGAGTGGAAATGACTGTCTCAATATCCATTACCTCCAAAATGTCTCCAATGTTGATGACAAATGCGTTTGGGAGAGGTTTTATTGGAATCCACTCCCCATCTTTCTTTATCTGGAGGCCTTCTACCTCACTTATCTGTAAGAGGATGGTGAGGCCAACGGCATCTGAGTGGGAATTAAGGCCGATAGCGCGCTCTGGCTGTGGGCACGGTGGATAATAGTTCATCCTCATAGATAGAAACCCTTCTTCAAACAGGTCTTCAATGTCTTTAGGGTCCATTCTTAGAGCCTTTGCCATGAGGCAAAGCATTTTCATGGCAAGGTTTTTCAGTTCTGCTGAATAAGCTTCCAAGGTTTCTCTGTATGCAAACCAAAAATCGAAAACTTCCACGTTTGGTTTAATTTTGTTATATATCTAACGTATAAGAGCTTATCTGAGTTGGTATAACGAACCTGAGTGACGCAGGGAACTTAGGAAAGAGGTAAGGTTTCCTGAGATGAGTAGGTAGACTGATCACATAGAACATGTCTCCCCAGTTAAGCTTCTGTTCCTCGGACACTACAAAGGCCTGTCCATAGCCCTCCAACTCCCCTGGGTGTTGCCAGAACTTCTTCTTCTCTTCCATCGGAAGATCAAAGAATTCTTTGATCTCCAGCTTCACCTTCTCCACCAATTCATTACTTACTCCATGATTAACCAACTGCAACAAAAAATCAGATCGATCCATTATGGATAATAGGTAGAGAAACGGATCTTATTTATAAAGCTAGGGAAATCCTACCTGGAAGAATCCCCAATCTTTGCACGCAGTGTGAAATCTCTCCATCTCGACATCCTCGGAGGGTAACTTTTTCAGGTCTATGACTGGAACATGGGGCAGAGAAAGTGTGTCAGCAACAAAGGGTGGATCTTCGTCAGTGTGGATATACCGTGGGGGAAGTTCAACGAGTGGCTGTTTTGCCATCTCTTGAACAAAAGGCACAGAGAGGGAGCCGCCTAGCCTTGTTAGCTGCGGTTCCATGGTGTTTAAGGTATGTACGTGGTTGCAGTCTCTGGTGCTCGGAAGCCGCTACTATATATAGAGGGCATAGCTTTGTTAAAGGCTTGCTTCATCAGGAAAATTTTTAATAAAGAAGCACTAGAAAGTTTAGTAATAAATTTTTTTTTTTTTTTATCAATGGGAAATTGGGGAATAAAAAAGTAGATATAATATTGCTGCAGCAGTGGCAGCTAGAACCCTTTACATAGACGTCAAGGGGATGATGGACTTCCAACGCAGCTGAAGCGGCAAGTGCGTTTATTAATAAATTTTAGAAAGAAAGTTTGTGATAAATTTTAGAATATAATTTTATTGGGATTGGAATTTTTTTTTTTATAGAAAATTGATATAAGAAAAATATTAGTTACAAAAATGTAAACGAGTCTCAGGTTAAAAAAAAATTGAGATAATTTTTTAAAAAATATGAAAAAAATATTATTTATTTAAAGTTTTGTAAAAATATATTAATTTTATTATCCTTTCATTGTAATATAAAGACTGAAAATTGTAGAAACTTTTCCCCGACCAAACGCAAACACGTGTACGTGGCTCGGCAGACATCGACACCTATTCCTTTGTAGAT